GTAGGAATAGAGTTCTGAGAAACATAACGAGTATCGATGAAAGAGTCAGTAGAACCAGAATCAACAAGAGTAGGAAATTTGAGAAGAGCAGAGATGGGTTCGGCTGGCGCGGCCGAATCGGATAAAGGAAATTCAGTAGTCAATGATATTACAAGAGATCGTTCAATAGAAGAAAGAGCGGACGCGTTGAGATATAACTCCCCAGGTGAGGTACGAACCTGATCAACGCAGCTCCCGTTTCGTACCGGGGAACAAGAGCTGCGGATTAGTTTTCCGAATCCTCTTCAACAACCTCAATGGTTGCTTCGGGGGTTTCTTCAACCTCGGCAGCGCGGCCCTTCGATTCTCAGGCCTTTCGCTTGTTGCAGTCAGCAATCTGATGCTTACCACCGCAGAAGAGACAAAGATTGTTCTTCATCCTTCTTTCCCGTTCGGAGGGAAGTACCTTACCATCTGCTCCTAGATGGTTGAATGCGGGGCGCTGACCGCCGGATTGGCCGGAATTCGAAGAGTTCTGGGGCTTACCATTGGTGTTAGGCTTACCACCAGAGAAGGGTTTAGGTTTCGGCGTGAACGGCGCCGAAGAGCCTGAAGGCTGAGAATTGTTGTGCTGGTTAGTAGAACCAGTCTTGAAGTCCGAGGAACCCTTCTTCGGGTTCCGAGCAATAAAAGGCTTACCAGCCTCACGCTTCTTGGTTTCTTCGCGCTTCCAATAACGGTTGTCAATGCGAAGAACTTCCAGACGATAAGCGGCGAGCGTTGCCGGTTCGGGCAACCGCGCCATTTCGTCCTTGATACGTTCAGCCAGGCCTCGTCCATAAGCCCATTTCAGGGCGGCAGAATCCCAGTTGGTGCTAGCAGCCAGGGTGTTGAACCGGATGTTGTACTTCCGGATATTCTCGGTTTCCTTCATCTTAAGGTTACCAAGGGCGTCCTCGGCCTCGCCTTGGGCGTCGTAAATGCCGAAGTTGTCCTGTAGCTCCTTTACAAGGGCCGTGAAGGACGACGTCCAGGCCGGCAGCGAGTCGAGGTCCGGGTCGAGGATATCAGGGACAAACCATTCTTTGGCTGACCCACTGAGATAAGAAAGAGTATAATTCACCTTCCGTTGGTCGGTGAAGTACTTGGGACGGTCATTAAAGACCAGGGCGAGATTGACGAAGAACGTCTTGAGTTTTCGGGGGTCCGAACCGTCGAATACCTCTGGCTCCTTGACTTTGCTCTTAGATTCAGAGCTATCAGAAGGACGGCCGAGAGCGGCGAGGACGGTGCCAAGGGTCTCAATGGAGCCCTTGAACCCCGAGAGGAGTTCCAACATAGCACGTTGCTCGTTGGGGATGTCAGGAGAGATTGGGGAACGGGGTCCACTAGGTCCACCAGGACCGCCGGGACCGCCGGGACCACCAGGACCACCAGGTCCACTGGGGTCACCAGGTTCACCACGCGGTAAACCACCGGAATCGTCATCCAGATCGTCGTTGTTATTATCGACGCCCGGATCGTCGGGGTCGACAGGAGGGTCTTGATCATCGTGATCACCAGTGTCCAAATCGAAGTGAGGAGGTGGGTCACGAGGAGATTCAGAAGCAGCGCGACGTTGGGGTTGTTTCCCCGTACGGCGGGCTATGGCTTGGAGGATTGGAGAATCAATTCGAGTAGTAGACCGGCCCCGAGCCGGAGCGACCACGGGGGGTTGTCCACGGCGAGGGGTCAGGACTTGAACAGGTTGTCCGTCACCAGTGTACAAGGTGCTGTACTCAAATTGTTGTTCTTCTTCCATGGCTTCAGGAAGAGTCGACGTAGTAGGAACTGTGGCTGGACCGAAACCGCGATTACGGCGACGTGGTTGACCGATTGCAGAGATAGAGTCGGAGAATGGGGCAAATGATTGAGCTGTAGTGAAGAAAGTATTTTCTTCGGAGTTAGCTCTAGATTGAGCTCAAGTTTTCAGAGGCATAAAAAATGATATGTCAGTACGACGTTAATGGATTGAGTTTAATTATACTGTTAAGATCATGTACACCGTGTAACCGTGCCAGAGCCACAAGGTGTCTAAGTGCGGAAGACGAGTGGGACAGTAGTGAAGTTATTAACAACACCGCCGTTACGCCGTTAGTCCCCGGAGAGCGAGAGTAGAGAGAGAGAAGCTAAGTAGCAGCCAGGTCGGAGCGGCGGTATCGCCGGTGACGAGGAGCGAACCAGAGGACGTCTAAGTCCTAAGGTTATAATGGGGAGTACTCCAAGGCGTTGAGCCTGAAGACTTAGAGAAGAGTTAAGTTGAGAAGGGAGATCTAAGTTGATCTAAGTCGATAATTAAACTGAGGAACTACAGTAGCGTACAGGCAGTATTTATATCTACGGAACGGCGCATCAGTGCGGAGCGCCAGACTAACTACTAGGAGCTATACGAGTAGTACCTGCAGGGTAGAGTAAAAGACAATAAGGAGAGACTAGAACGAAAGAGTAAAAGACAATAATGAGAGACTAGAACGAAAGGATATGTGTAGCGAGAAAGAACAATAGGAGTGAGATTACAATAAGGAGCAGATCTTCGGAGTACCGAGCAGCGTAATGGAGGCCCGCGGCATGGACTTGACAATAAAAACAATCTACATTTGAGATGATGCATGGTGTTGGAGGGATTACATTCCACATACATGAGCTCTATTTAGCTCTATATGCCTCAAAGAAAGATATAGTTGATTATAAAATTTTTCTGTTATTCAGAGGTGGGTTGCTGAGAGTATGCTAAAATTGTTCAGTTGAGCAACTACATAAACAGTTTTACACTGATCAATTATTTCCACAATGTCTTGAAAGTTCTTGAAGTGTTAGCAAAATGTATATCATCAGTAAGTATGAGCTAGTAAGTAGTAATATTCTGCAATAAATGCACTTTCAGCAGTCTTGATGGACTACTGGTGTAATTTCCCAGCTGGACAGCACTTTTATTTCAAGAGCAGCTGAGCACTTCCCAGTACCAAAGCAACCAGAGGAAGCTGAGAATTTTTCTCTGTTGCTTTGGGAATTATACAGGTCTTGAACAGCTTACACTTGTGTAGAGCTGGAGGTTTTCTTTATGGTAGTTATGACTCCACTATACATATGACCATTTGTCTGTGCACATCAACTAATTAAAGAGCAAGAGACATTATTGATTGCATTAGCAAAAAAAGCAGCCAGAATTATCTGAAACTTTATGACACATATTTAGTGGTTTCAGAACTCCCTATTCACTAATATACAGATTTCATAGATGTCAAGGTAATAGTCCCCCCCTATGACAATTATTTTGTCATATCCTTTTAGCTCAGTTGGATTCTGCGTTAGTGGTTGGGTATATATTTCACATCAGTTATACTTTAAACTAAAAACAGAGAATGGACCTGGACAGTAATGAGAAACCAATGGTCAATGATTTTCATGAGATATATTCCAGATATCAATTGAACTGGGAAAGGGCCTTGTACCAAGGCACTGACCTTGCCTAGATTGCCTGACTTTCCAATAGCATACAAAGATATGGACAGGATAGTGAGCTTAGGTACAATTTCTTACAATATGCACTTTCAACAAGTAGATGGCTCCATAGCAAAAAAGTAATGTAGAAAACAGAGCATGAACAAAAACCATTTTTACAGTAACATTTGGATGAGGTGGTTGGACATTGAAAAGGATGTAATAATTGGAGCAATGAGTAGATGGGAGACAAGCCAGGCCAAGAAGGAAGCCATGTTGTAGTATAATTGTGATATGAAATGAAACTGCATCAATTAAACTTGAAGATGGCAAGAAACCTAGCCAAGCAAGGTGATAGAGCCCATAAATATTGACTGACATTTGTTCATGTTGGGACATATACTCTGTATGTATATACAGGCCTACTTTGACTATCCCTATCTGTATATGCCATCTTTGATTACAATACTGTACAGTATAAAATAGATCATGCTCACATTGTATTTGAGTCCCTCAGTTGCTTTACTATCAACCAAGGTGAGCTTTAGTATATCCAGAAGACAGTCCACGTGCTGACTGCACCATAGATTAAACTTATACTAACAAGTACCTATATCAATGACCAGTTGCTTCACTATCAACTAAGATCAAGCTCATGCTAACAGTTCAAGTATATTCAACTGAAGTACAGAATTGATGTGTGAATGGATATTGTCCTTGCACTAGTCTGATTTTAATATTTCATTTATTGCTTTCCCCTTTCCAGAGCAAATATTTCATTTATTGCTTTCCCCTTTCCAGAGCAAATATTTCTGCTAAGCATCTACATAAATTACTGGGTGCTTCCAGCTGCTCTACCTAGCCGAAAATACGGGTTTTGCAGATGAAAAGATCTTTAGAGTGAAGAAATGATATTCATGATTTGTGAATATATTACCACTTATATACCTAAAAAAATGACATAGTGAGTCTGTATATACATTACATGAGATATTGAGAAACAGTCAAGGTAGAAATGAAAGAAATAACACCCCACAAAAATTAAAATATGTTGAGATGAGAAATTGATTCTGTGAAATATCATATGTCATGCCGAAGTGATTGCTGATGCCGGGTTATGTCAGTCAGTGACAGTCGGATGCCACAGTGGATGCCTTAATGGCAGTTCAAATGAACTGCCATGGCTTTTGCGTCCCGTGTTACTGAAGACTTTTGGAAAATTGATGTAAATTTCCGATAAGATAAGATTTGTGACTTATGGAAAGTATTACGTAGGGGTTACATGTAGCCTTAGTCCTTTTAGGACACAGATGAATATCATCTTGTAAACTTGTAAACTTAGTATGGAATAAAACTTCCATGAAAGGAAATTTCTTTGCATAGGTTCATCATAAACAACCAGATAAGTAGACAATCTTATATCTTATGCTTTAGCCATTTCATGTTAATTTACCGTAAGTCTCATAAGCCACAAAAACTTATGATAATTTGCACCCCAGTGTGATAGATGCTTTCGGAGATTTCCCGGAAATAAAATTGGCCCATTAATATTATTATTAATTATGTAAGTATCGCAGTCACGGCGAACACGTGCGCCGCGTTGAATGTTCGTCACGGACCGGTGCTGAACAGTGAACACTGCGATTGGCGTTTGCAGGCATGTCGGACGACGACCTTGGTGCGCGAAATCTGTACCGCTCATGCTCCGCTGCTGTTCGCTCACCGACGTCTTATATTATAGGTGGATATGGCACTCCTCCTGTCCGTCAAGCGAAAACTCGTGTTTCTCGCTCGCAAGGGAACCAAGTTGCAGGCCCCTCTAAACCTAGCTCTAGATCAAGGCAAAAACTGGTTGAACTTCATCATCATGAAGTCATCGATGTTGACAATGGCCAGAACGAGGATGAGCTTGGATCGACGACGTCGATCCCTACCGCTCGCGGGATCCATGTAGGTCGCAACAATACGAAAGTCAAGCCCAAGTCCGCCCGAGCAAAGGGAAAGGCCAGAGCACAACCTCTAAACTCGAATGGGAACATGGGGGGACCTGGTGACGATGAGTTGCAGGTTGTGGAAGAATCAGATTATGAAATGGGTGGAGAACTTAATGTCGGAACTTCTCGGTCAACGATGGTAGTAGGCGAAGCGGTTGAACGCAAGCAATATAACGAGGTGCTGTTATTTAATGTCGAAATCTATACGTTTTATTTGACGTAAGGTTATGCAGCTTGAAAAACGTCTCAAACGAGTGTGTAAATACTTTTCCTTGCGCATTTGCTTCCTAACAATCTAGACCCACTCCAGGAAATAAAAGGCCGCGAGGAGGTTCGCTCACCCATTTGAATTCCTACAATTTGCATTAAAGTGTCTGTCCTAGATGGAACAACGCTGCGAAGATTTGACAAAGCAACTCGAGAAGATTATGCGGGTGAGAGAGACAGAAGCCGAGGCTCTCATGCTTGCTCAAAAGGAACAGTTTGAGGCAGAGATCGCAGGTAACGTCAAATTTTTTGAATTTCGAGCTTTTTCTCTGATGGTAATATCAGCCCTTGAAAGGGTTAACAAGGAGTTGACAACGAACCTTGCTAAAGTTGAACCCCTAATGCGTTCCGGTAAAACTTCCGTCCTTCATCTTCTTACACGTGAAGCCGCGGATGAGGAGAATCGGAAGATTGAAAATGAAGTATTGGCCTGGCGGCAACAATTCGAGGAAGCACAGGAAATAATCAAAGAGAAAGACCAGTTGATCAAAGAGAGTGCACAACGAGGTGAGCTGATACTATTCAATTATTAACTCAGCATTGACTTGAGGAACTTAGAGAAGGAGGTCGTTTTTGAGCTGGAGGTAGAAAAGAAAAATTTCCTGGCGTACAAAGCCAAGACACAGCATGGCTCTGTCCGCCCACAAGGCGATGTACTTGGATCTGACAAACCGCAGAATCTTCAACTCGTGCGGTTATACGAAGATTCAACGAATTTGCTCATAGTGGGATTGAAACCCCAACGTTCACAGTACCTCAATTTTGATGACTGGACCGCGACTTGTGTCTTTACTTACGTGTCTAGCCACGATGCGAAAAGACATAGTAGGTGTCTCTTTTACCCCCACTTTCAGATTGCGTCGTATTGATGTTGATTGCTGCTACAGGTCTGAACTTTATGTTGATCTGTCGTTGGGAGAGAATAGATCTTGAAGACGATACACCGGTCAAGAGCAAGAATCAGCTCCACGAGATGATGTACTACGAACCTCTTGAACTGGACAAGGAGTCTGAAGAATTCATTGAACGCTTGCAACATATGGGGACCGCTTTCTCGTTTACCCGGGATCAGCTAGCGTTGTTTTTGCGTACGCTTTACAACACCCTCGACGAGGCTCTTCATGCAGGCCCGGAAGTTCCAGAGGAAGAAGTCGATGTGGAAATCATCGAATAATTATATACACACTCTAGATGTATGATATACTCCACCGGTGCTTCACTGACGATGCGATGCTGAGGAATACGCAACAGCTTCACAACTAACTATAAGAAAGGTATGAATGAGATTCCAGATTGGTTATGAAGTTCAAGGACAAGTTTTGAATACGTCAACTCTTTTCTCGCCACTTCCATATTCTGACCGCACCTTTCCTTGTATCACTGTCTCCTTCCCAAGATCTCCCACTTTTCCACACTTCTTCGTAACCTCTCCCCACTAGATGTTCCCTGACTCCGTGTTCCTCCAACAGAGCACCGAAACACACTAGATATCTCGGCCATTCGTGGAGCCATGCATCGTCGGATATCGATTGTCCTGGTATTGAAGCTGGGTGCGGCGACTTTGGAAAGGCAGGGTTTACGTGATTAGGGAAACGGTCTAATAGATATTGATGAGGATTAGCGAAGAATATATTGGTTTGATCGCGATATGCGCTGAGATTTTGGTTGCTGTGACAGGTGTTCAACGATGTTGGTTATATAAAACAACGAGACGCTCACTTCAGCGGAGGCTCACATCCCAAAGCCCATAGACCGCCATTCGCGAGCTGAGGTCGATGCAAATATGCATGACCGGGTGTAGAATGGCAAGGCATTAAGAACCCTACAACACCGCCGCGGAGCTCGTTTTCCGGTATGTTCCTGATATAGGACATTACACTGAGAGGTCCACTACAATGAACAAACACAATCCATGCTGATATGGGCAATGTAACGAGCAGTAAACCAAGAAACGCTCTCCGAATGGGAATGCGTTGGGTGTTGGACTTCTCCCTGATATCTACCTTGTGCGAGGATCGTTCAACCAAGGATTTCGCAGCCAAGATGTGCAATATGGGAAGAAGGGGATGAATGAACCGCCATTCTTTGTGCCCAGAGAGGGAATATACACCGATAGTCCAAACGATTACTCCAAGGAGTGTTTGTAAGGCGGGATTCCCAGAGTATATTGTCGACCAGATTCCATCCAGGACGAAAGGTAATGACGTAGTACACAAGATTGGAAGAGCTTGAGAGAGGTAGTAGTGCCATGGGCTATTGCCGTAGAACAGAGAGACACCTGAGAGGTTGGTAACCAGAAAGCTGAACGGAGTGAAGGTCGGCTGCGCGTAGTATATCGTATCCAAAACGAAGATTATTCCTATTGTTGCGCCTCTAGAACAGATGAGATTAAGACCTTGGATGTATTTGCACGCTCACCCTATGATCACAATGTCAAAAGAGCTCATTATCAATAATTTAGAATTGGACCGCATCTTCCAGAAAAGGGAAGGAAGAAGAAAGGCCCAAATAATCGTGTTAGTGATTCTAACAGAGCATGCCATTGCAGCAAAGAAAAGCATTTTCTGGATGTCCGATCTGACAATTATTGGTCCGAGACGAACTTGGATCGTGCGTGAGGGAACGTACCTTGTTTGAGCAGCGAAGAAGCCATTCCACGGATAGTAAGTTAGCGCTATGGTGGTTAAAGAAGTTTCCAAAGAGTTGGACAGGGATCTAGACAACGACAGGGCATGGAAGAGCGATGTTAAGGAGAGAAACAACTACAAGATTTTGGTGATTGGATTATTTATTCCATGAGGCAGTAGTTCACGTACCGCAGAGGACACGTAGCGTCCTCCAATCGTCCGACGCGTAAGTTTGCAAAGCCAGATGTCGGTGAGAGCTGAAAACGAGCCGTGTAACACGCGCGGACTGTTGACCTAACAAGTCGGTCACCTGGGCACAACAAGCTGAACGTCTTGTATACACACCATTAGAAAATCACCAAGCCTCCCATAGCTGTCAACGCCTGTTTGCTTCAAGATCCAATATATGGGCACGTTCAATGCCGGATAGACGATGCTGCGAATTGGTTGAGGACTAAGCCATTCCCAAGTAAGGTGACCATAGCCAAAGACAATGTGGTGCGCAGGTTCAAGCGCCTGGAAGTATTCGTCAGGTTGAAAGACTGTTCGTGTACAAAGTGCGATAAATATTCGAATAACAAAGGCAAGCACTGTGGTGGTCAAGAAGAACATCTGAGAAAGGAAATAACGGATCATCCGATGTGTCTTCCGGAATCCGGCAAATATGACTAGAGTCATAAATCAACGGATCCGGCCTTGATCCTGAAGGTCTCTTCTTCTGGAAATGTCACCTTCCGCGCCAAGTGCAATTGAAGAATATGAAGCAAACAGAAAGGAATTGATCCTCGCCGACAGAGCTCAACGCGCAGACCACAAGAAAGGCCAGCTTTCTGAGCTAGAGGTTTTAGCTGATAAAGTCATTCGAGAAGTCCGAGCCACTGAAGCTGCATCTATCTGGAACCGAGAATATGAAGGCATCCCTCATCCATTCCCCGGCATGGAATTTCTAACTGGTATTTCTCCATGCATACCCCAACAAATGCATTAATTCATGGATCAAAACAGGTCGCAGTATCATCGTGCAAACGAAGCTGTTCAAAATCTTGGGAAAGGGATGTCTACCCAGATTTACCGTTGGATGATGAATATAACGATGACCGAACTACTGTATTCATTAGATGCCCAAAGGCGGACTCCTTCATGCACACCTTGACGCGACTGTCAACGTGTCGTTCCTTTTGAAAACTGCAATGAAGTACCCTGCTATGCATGTTCGAGCTTCAACAGCTCTTAACGCAACCAATATAGGTCATGTTCTTCCAGAAATGTCGGCTTTGCCCCAACATCTTCGTACAGCCGGCGAAATTGCTTTGACCAATCACGATTATATCCCTGACACTTGGGTGCCCATGCTTAAAGCCCGGGAAAGCTTCGATCCCAAGCTTGGTGGACCGGACGGCTTTGATCGTTGGATCACTGCTGCTCTGACGATCAATCCTACTGAAGCATATGTGACGCATAACACGGTTACAAAGGTCTGTTCTTACTTTCTTTTACTTATTTGAGGTATCCTTCCTGATATACTTCCAGATCTGGCAAAAGTTTCAAAGCACCTTTATCGTCAGCGCAGTGCGTCGATCCGCGCCCCCATATATGCTCCAAAGCTGACTTCCCGGTAGCCCCTTGTGCGATACCAGCCGATTCAGAGGCAATATATTCGAGAATTTATCCTCAGTTCCATCGCAGATGGAATATCTTACGTTGAACCCAGAATTAACTTCCTCAGGGACGCAATGTTTGTTCTCTTGGGCCTCGATATTTGACATTGATTCGATACTAACCTGAATTCATTCCAATAGACCTTTCATTGCTGAGGACGGTCAACGGCAACTTGCTCACAGGGAGGTATTGAAAGATTTTGAGGACGTAGTTGGCGAAGTGAAAGCGGAGCTTAAAGCAAAGGGTAGAGAAGACGATTTTATTGCCGCGAAGGTCCGTTGGTATTCCAGAAACTTGAATGTCACTGTGATATACCTCAATCCTCAGATCATATATTCTACAATCAGATTTATCACACCAGCCGAACTCGAGTGGTATCTTCGGGACTGCATTGCTCTGAAAAAAGAATTCCCCCATCTCATCGCCGGTGTGTTGCCCCTTCTTCTTCTGGTTTTACCTCGGTTGCTAATTCCCACTCAATAGGGTTCGACCTTGTTGGCGACGAAAACGTTCTCAAACCCTTGACTTATTACCTCGAGCCTCTCCTGAAGTTCCGTGAAATGCAAAAAGAAGCTGGCGTCTCAGAAATACCTTTCATTTTCCACGGTGGAGAGACCTTAGGTGACGGGACAGAAGCGGATATGAACCTCTATGATGCGATTCTGCTAGGTACCAAACGGATCGGACATGGGTTTGTGGAGGTTCGACTGTTGGGACCGGGCGAAATGCTGAATGGCGATCCACTTCTATACTTAGGTTCTCCTTGGTCAAACACCCGAAGCTGATAGAACTCTGCAAAGAACGCGGGATCGCAGTTGAAGTATGCCCGATTTCGTACGTGTATATACATTTGACTTGTGCATACAATCTAACCTGACAGTGATCTCTGTACACAGGAATGAAATCCTTGTGAGTTTGCGTGACGACACTTCAGGCTGACAAAGTGAACTTCGAATTCTGTATCATAGCGGCTCACGTCTTCAATGCACATGCACCCTCTACCTGTCTTGTTGAATCAAGGAGTTTCCGTCGCTCTCTGCTCCGACGATCCGTCCGTATTCGGGAACATGGGTTTGACATTTGACTATTTCCAAGTGAGTAATCTCCATTCCCCTCAATATATCTCACTCCATACGTTCTTCCTACTCGAAGGTTCTAGCAGCAAGTGAAATCACGGGTCTTATTCAGCTCGGGGAGATGGCTAAGGATAGTATCAAGGTGTGATATATAAATCCTTATGAAGTTTATCCTGTTAATGAAGACATTGACAGTTCTCGAGCATGGAACCGGAAGAGAAGGCGCATGCTCTCGGAGCTTGGCAGAAACGCTGGGAGATATTTCTAGAATACGCCGTAAAAGAGGGTCAGAAGTTCCTCACTTAGGTGCTTGTGACATTATTCGAGGCACCGGTCCTTAACGACACAGTCCAGTCGCCACGTTGAAGGAGGGACAGGCTGGATTTATCCTGTACTATCAGACTTACCAAGGAGTGATAAACCTTGCTTTGATCAACCGACATCATATTTAGTGTCTATACAACTACTGGTACAGTCAAACGATACTACTCGCATTCAAGAAGACGTTCCGTCAAGCGTGAGCCATATCGCACTTGAATTTCCCTGATCAGGGCTGCAAGTCGACTCCCCAAACGGCTTTTGATACCCTGGTGTAGTTATCATCATACTCCTTCTTGTACGCAGCTACCACTTCCTCAGTAACATGACCCTCTGTTTTGAGCAGTTCCAAGACATCCGTAATGTAGTCCAAACAATTACCTCCCTTCACCGCAGCAGCAGCTTTCATCCTGATTGCTTCAACCTTTGTAAAGGCCGTCTTCTGATCAGCGGCATCCTTGAACGTGGCTTTACCGAGGGGCTTTATCTTGTGGGAACTGGAAAGCTGGTGCTGCACTTTGTCCCATTCGTAATGTGAAGTTGTGAGTTTGCTCTTGAATTTATCCATCGTCGACGGGTCTCGGGTTCCAGCTTGGAAAAGAGTGGGCCCGACGTCCACGAACCAGTGCTCTGACTTTCCGACGCCGTCGATGACAAGGTCAACATTGACCTCTAAATTTCGCTTGTAAACTATTATGGTCAGTCAATATCTTCATCGACCGGCAAATTTCTAACTCACTATGGGGATCAGCGACTGCTTTGGAGCCAGTGTGTCGTTTGTATTGGAGATCGACATTGGAGCTGGGTACCGGGGAAGCCGACACCCATATAAGGCTGGCTCCAAGATACAAAAGAGTAGCAAAACGCGAGGGAGTGTTTTGAAAGAACATGGCGTGTTGGCTTAGGCGTGTACTGGGTACGGGATTGATAAAGTGACTGTCGTTGGGACTTCGAGGAAAGGACCTAGTCACAGATTAACAATCAACAAACAAGATGTATATGTCGAAGACATACGAAGGTGATACTAGTAACAATTGACCAGCAATTCTACTAGGTGTGAAAGATGATAGCTATCGTATCATACTGGGTCAGTAGGAGAAACAAAACCTGATAGGAAATGGATCGCATACCGAACCAGCGCTAGAGGTGTGTGTTACCACTGTTAAGAGTCTTGACAAATATTGACGTCCATGATATCGAGCACAGTACTATTATTTATACCCCCTGGGCAGCCTCTGGCATTCCGGAAAAAATCTACTATTCAAGCGACAAAGCGGGCCTGGATTCTCTCTTCTTTCAAACTCAGTACCCACTTCCCGAAATAAAGTACTTGTATAGCCATTACGCCGGTGTCAGGTAAAGAAGCATGTGTATTTCCAGGTGCTAACCTATGCAATGAAATGGGAGACCGCAGTATGTATTACACAGTGTACTGATGAACACTCCGATCTGCCACAAAAAACACGCAGGGAACCTGGTGATACGCAATTGTGTAACTCAATTCAAGGATTCGGTACCGTTTATTGAAAGTTGTGACAGAACAGATGAAGACAATTTGTGAAGATGATTTATTATGGCGGGCCGCAGCGTAGTGGGTTTGAATGGCCGACCAAATGAAGCTCCGAGGTCCAGCTTGGTCCAGCGAAAGTGAATCTCGCTATAGTGAACGCTCAAAGAATCACTCAAACAACACACATAGACACAAATTAATTCATCACCTGAATGGTTGAAGTCTGGCTAATCTCATGGCATAGCTGGATATCGATGCAACCTAAATCGCGATCGAAATTTACAAATTTGATCCTGCATAGACAATTTCGGATATCCGCAAAACGTTCTGTGTCCAAACTCCATACAAGGTTGCTGATATTTACGAGGAGAAGGGAGGGGAGGCAGGGGTCATACATTTCAATGTAAGGATGGGGAGTCAAATCCATCGACGAGGGGTGGCAGATGTACTACGCACGTATTCCGTCAGGAGAGCGCCTAAAAGTTACCTTCGGGAATTGCTCATGCATGCCGCGTGGAATATGTCAATATCAAGGTGTTTCTCACAAGAGGCGGGGGCGAGGAGGAAGATGCCGTAGCCAGGCCGTAGCGGCGACGGACCACTGGAGAACAAAAACGGACTGCCAAAATTTTTGCAATACCCTCATGAGCTCCTGAGCTATCCTGAATCGCCTCACTCGTGCAATGCTCGATTATTCGTTGTCATTGCGCATCCATTATCCATGAAGGTAAAACTATCAAAACAGTAGGGATCAATCCCTTTACTTCAATCACAATCATAGGGCTTACACAGGCTTACACCCAGACACTGACCCTGTCATCATGGCCGCAAGTCGACTCCCCAAACGGCTTTTGATACCCTGGTGTAGTTATCATCATACTCCAGCTTATACGCATCTACCACCTCCTGGGTAATATGGCGCTGTTTCTTTTCCAGTTTCAAGACATCCATATTGTAGTCCATGCAGTTACCCCCCTTCTTCGCAGCAGCTTTTGTCATCCGAATTTCTCTGATCTTGGCAAAGGCTTTGGCCTGATCATCGGCATCCTTGTATGTCGCTTTCCCGAGGGGTAAGATGTAGTAATCTCCACCAAGCTGGCTCTCAACTTCGTCCCAGTTGTAACTCGAGGTCGTAAGTTTGCTCTTTGTGGCATCCATCGTTGCGAAGTCTCTGGCTCCAGCTTGGAAAAGTTGAGGCCCAATTAATAGGTACCAGTGCTCGTTTTTGCCTTCGCCGCCGATGACAAGATCGACATTGACCTCTATTGCTCGCTTTGAAACTGTTGTTGACAGTCAATACGTTCGTTCATTTTCTGGTGAGCTTTCAACTTACGTTGAGAATTAGCGAAGCTAAAATCAGTGCGTCGTTCGTACTGAGCGATATCGACATTGGGGTTGGGTACTGGAGAAGCCAACACCTGGATGGATGCCCAAAGAAGGGTGGCACCAAAATACAGAAGAGCAACAAAACATGAGGACGTGTTTTGGAAGAACATAACGTGCCGGCTGAGATTCTAGGTATAGGAATACTAAAGTTCTTGTCGTTGGAACTCCAGGGGAAAGGACCTAGTAACAGATTGATTAACGACATTCTAGGAAGAATCATGTCTTAGAAAACATACTATGAGCTTTGATAGTAGCACTTGACCAGCAATTTTACCACAGGTGCGAAAGAGGATAACTGTGATTGTGGGTCAGTGGGGAGCTAATGAGGAAAGGCTTGCATACCGAACCAGCGCTGTGTGTGTTGAGAGGGTTGGAGGATGCCATAATCTATAGCACAACACTGGTATTTAAACCCCTTCTGTTGGATACTAGCCTTTACGGTCGGATACTACTTAGCGGTCGTGCAGGTACAGGCAGGTACCCAGCCCGACAAGGTTAAACTAAAAGTATATGTCTATAATCGTTGGGCGAGTCATAAGTACGCTGTTGTAAGAGAGGTATAATGACTGTTCGATCCTGCTCATTGTAAAAGCCAAACGAGAGCCGATGGTGCCGTCCACAGTCCTTCAACATCTCTAGGCCTCACCCCCTGGGTCGCAAGCAGGAACAGCCTCCTCTAGAGTCTCTACCCCTTGCATCGCAAGTTAAAGATGTTTAGGAATAGTCTATCCCCCTTTCCTCGGATAATTAAATGAGTAGTGACCAGGGTCAAATGTCCTCAAACGTGTCTGCCGGAATGCGAACCTTGCAGCCGCACGTACATTTTCGCACTTCTATCAAGTTACTCCTGGCAGGAAGCAAAAAACGTAGCCCCACTTTGTTCTTATTAAGCCGTTCTGATAAATGTATGTTATAATGCCACTAACCTATACGAAGGATCACCGGCACCTCTGGTGAGTAGTGTAGATCGGACGACAGTGCACTGGGACACCGGAATCTCGATGGTCCCGCAGTGGGAAGGTTTCGACGCGACCTATTTGTTTATTGCCCTGGGCGTCCTCGTCCTTGAATATGGCACGTACTGCGCAATAGCGCCAGGCAGCGCTTGCGGCGGAATGTGATACACTTTGATTAATGAGGGCTGGCGTTGGGTATCGTACATATGTATGCAGAATGTTCAAAGCACCAATGAGATGGTAGTAACGAGTGATTGAATGTGTGTGCAACACAGCAGAGGAAGCGTTCAAACGAGTTGATGTTACTGTAAGAGCGCTACAGCTTTTGGACGATGATGAGGCTGATGAAAGTGATGTGAAATTCGGAGTCAGAAACGAATGGGAGAGAGTGAATAAGGATACTACAGTACGGGGCGGTAGTTGGTGACGAACGGACGGGACTATATCCGTTACGCAGTCAAGGGTTACGGGTGAGCAAGAGGGGATTGGGTCGTAGGGGAGATTAAATAGAGAAGGTCTACTCTGACAAGGCAGACGGGTCAACGAATTTTAGCGCTAACTAGATTTCGAATAGCAGCAGGCCACTAGTCGTACAATCTGAAAAGAAAGACAACAGGACGAAAATTTTCGGAAGAACAAGAACAAGAGCCGACATATAAACAGAGCACCCGTCTTCGGCAGAGGACAGTAGTACGATATTGAGGGAAATATATGTGAGAAAGGAAGAACAGGGTGCGATGAAGGACAAACAGTTGTAGAGAGACAACGAAGACAGACTGCCATATTGGACATTTGACACCAAAAAAAGGAAGAGTCGACAGAGAAGCAGATAAATGATCATCAAGCTGATGATGATGAGGAAGAAGTCTGTGCGCGGAGTTGCTTTTGCTTTTCTTGCTCGAGACGCTGGATCGATCATGTCAGAAGACATCTTCATCGAGCCAAAGAAAATACGAACATGATACAGTAGCTGAACAGCCATCTGGATGTTGGCCGGTTGCCCGGTGATCACGACCAATCTTTCTCCTTCCCCGCCAGTTGGTGCTGGCGCTCCGGCCACGCTAACGCCTACAGCACCAGGCTCCATAATTTTGATCTGACTGGCACTCATATGTCGTATCTCATTGATTTTGCTTCCTCCTTTGCCAATGATACATCCCACTAAATCGTTTGGAATGTAGATCTGCTGTGTTTGAAGTTGCGGGGAGGGATTTCCGGCAGAGTAGCTCGAGAATCCAGGAACATAGGGCGTCGAACCAGTAGTGGCAGGGGGGCGTCGAGTACTACTGGTGTTACTAGAAGGTCGATAACTTGAACCAGAGGTAGGAGGCATGCGTTCTTGAGCCTCGATCAATATGTTGCCAATATAGTACGTGGCAATGTGAATTGCATCAGCGACACCCGCGACACTAAGGACTCGCTAAAAACCACTATCAATAAAGGACAAACGACCACTTAAAATGCCTGACCTCAGTAGAACCAGGTAACATGCCCTCACTGGCGTTGAGTCTTGCACCGCTGGCATCCTGAATTTCTTTGATCTTGGAGCCCTGCTTGCCGATAACGGAGCCCATGCGGGAGTTGGGAATCATAAATTTGATAGTGACCGCTCGGCTGCCAGGTACAGACGGTACATCAAATGGTTCGTCATTAATGCGGCGAACGATGAGACCAAAGGCCTGGAAAGGTGTTGATAATGATCAGACAGCGCACAAACTTTGACATACCTTTGAAACCGCATCCAAAGGCCCGCTCACATTGAGGATTCGTTCGGGATTCCCGGGTATACTTTCGGATACCATCACTCGAGCGCCGCTCTTTTCCCTGATCTCATTGACATGAGACCCACCCTTGCCAATGATAATGGATGCGTCTTGAGTGACTATCAAGCAGCGCATATGGATCATGGCGGAAGGCGGAGGTGCTGCGGTTCCACTCGAAGAAGCTGAAGGTTCTGCGGAAGTGGTGGCTGTAGACGACTTGGAAGCCTCTGCGTCAGGTTTTGAGACAGCAGCATGATTGTCGGAGGAGGCTGGAGACGAAAACAGTTAACGCATATGTAAAAACACTTGAAGGTTCAGGAAGCAAAATGACCTGGAGGGGTGGATGAAGATTCTTCTAATGGATTGGAAGAGCCAATATTAGCTCTCTTGTGCTGTTTTTGTTGGTCGCTATCGGAAGGAGAACGAGAGCGTTTACGGTTGGTATCAGCGTCTGGCATGGCCAATTTAGCTTTTCAGTTTTCAACTGGGATCGGAATTGGGATTGGGAGACTGGGACTGATGCATTTGGAGGACAGTGAGGGAGTGCGAGGTCGAAGAATGGAGCAAAGGCACTTGGACAGGCCACATACCTTGGAGAAGAAGATGGTGATGGTGAGTTGTCAAGGTTTCTGAATCCCGACGCCTGCTGAGCTAAACACCCTCGTGATGACTTTAGCGCCCACTTGATTCTCGGTGTTTCCCTGTGTTTCCGCTATCTCAGTCTGCAGAGAAACAGAACACAAGAGGTCAAGAGAAGTACACTATCATATATCAGGGGACCGGGAGAATGGGAGTTTGTTTGTTGCTGCTGCGCCTCCCTGGATAATTCATATTCGTATTGTACGCAGATCTTTTTTAAGAATCCATGCTGTAGTACATACTGCGCTAATATTTCTAGTATTGTTACTGACAAGAGAATCACCCGTAAAGCTAAACCTGCAATTGCCTGAAGAGGGTCTGAGCTGTGAGGGCGAACCTGTAAGTGAGCCTGTAACTCAGACTGTTCTGAGAGTCTAACGGCGTCTAAATGAGCGCCGAATTGAAAACTTCTTCGCGACCACCATGGCATCAATCTTAAAAGCTCAGAGGGCCAATGCAATCAAGGCAACGCACACCGGCGACCGTAAAGGAAAAAAGAAAGCAGACGATATGAAGGAATTGGATGATTCAGATTCTGGAGAGGAGATGCAGGAAATAGAAGCAGTACCTGCAACTAAGAGCAGAAAGAATAAACAGAGGGTTCTCTTGCTTTCATCGCGAGGAGTTACTCATCGTATGAGGCACTTGATGAACGATCTCGAAGTCCTTCTACCGCATGTGAAGAAGGGTGAGTAACAGATTTTCTCATCAGCAAACACTACTTGCTCAAGCGTCGATAGACTCAAAGCTCGACTCGAAATCACAACTACATCTACTTCCTGAACTTGCGGATCTCAACAACTGTAACAACACCCTTTACTTCGAAGCTCGAAGACACGAAGACCTGTATTTATGGGCTGCCAAAATGCCAAACGGACCCAGCATAAAAATGCACGTCCAGAACGTGCACACTATGGACGAACTAAAAATGACTGGGAATTGTCTCAAGGGAAGTAGAGGCTTACTGAGCTTTGATAAAAACTTCGACGAGACAGAATGGGGTAAATTGACCAAAGAGCTTTTCACGCATGTGAGTATCCGTCCCAGCTGTTCACTTACATATCCCTGAATCACGACATTAGATATTTGGTGTTCCACCAACTGCCCGCAAGGCTAAACCTTTTGTGGACCACATTCTCACATTCTCCATCGTAGACCAGAAGATATGGTTCCGTAATTTTCAGGTGGCTAATTTCTCCGAAGACCCTTTTTCAACACTGAAACTTCGCCAAAGATGATAGAGAAAGATCCACTAGCCCCGAATGGTCCTCCTCAGATGACGCTGGTAGAAATTGGCCCTCGTTTTGTCCTCACACCTATACGCATTTTCGAGGGCGCATTCGGCGGCGCGACAGTTTATTCTAATCCAGGTAAGGGGCACCTACCTTGGCAAACCGTTGTTTCATCTAGAATGCTGATCATCGTCTAGAATTCGTCACACCTGCTGCTGTGCGAACTGCGATCAGGAGAGAACAAGGCAAAAAGTACAATGTACGCAAAGATGCAGAGCAAGCATCGTCTATTCGCAAAGAAAAACGTAGAAGAGCAGAGAATGAGCTGGCTGTATCCAAGATGTTTGCTTGACAGATTATCCGGTACGAGTCTTATATACCGTGCCTCCCTTGCTGTATCCGCTTCAAATCAATCAACCTACAAATTTGAATGTTGAAATATGCTTTGAATTCCATGACACGCCTCGTTGGCAACATCTCAATGTTGTGCCAGATACACCGGGTATAGTAAGGTATGGATTTCATAGTAATTTGTCGAAACCGACTTTGGCACAGGCATGACATTGAAGTACGTGCTTTGTTCACATTGCCTGCTTTCTTCAATCTTCAGAGCTTTAGCAGTCTTTAGCGATCAAGAATGCTTTGTTTCTGCGTCAAGGAATGCTTTGTTCACGGCGCACGCGTCACGCTTAATGTATTGTTCCTGGTCCAAAACGTTTCTTGGACCTACATACACATGACGGAATCACAATCAAAAAGTTCTTTTGTTCCAGTTCCTTTTGTCTTCTCTGTCTTTCTTTTACACGTCAAAGCGTCTTGTGAATGCACCATATAACCCATCACGATCGCCACGACTTTTACACGCTGCGCTCCGTAACGCCCTTCTCTGTTTTATAGACTCGTCTCTCAACTCTTACTATCGTTATCCACAATTCAAATCCCCAATGTCTGTTTCGATCAAAATCGTGCCCATGCAGAACTCTCTGCACATGTTTGGAGACCCGGATCGTTCGTGAGTGGCAGCTATTGCTCCAACCCTTCGAGGAAAATACACATACTTATCAATCCCATCCCTATAGGTCGGCGTACTCACTTTCTGGACACGTTCAGATTACATTATCACCTCATTTCCTGAGCAGAAAGCCCGCAAAAGTCCTTCTCCAGTCGTTGGAACTATTGTTGGAGGGTCAAAGTGAAGTTTCCGCACCGGCGATTGGATATTCTGCCGTTCGTTTGTGCGCGATAACGAGGGAATTGGTACCCCATGATCATCCTGTGCTGCTGAGCAATGACGGAGACGAAATACCTGGACAATCTTGTGCGTTATATATTTCCGAGATCATGCATATGTATATATTTAACTCGCTCTTCTTTTCTCGTTCAGGCCGATGGAACGCTACCTTCAACATAAATGTTCCAGGCTGGTTGCCGGCTTCTTCTTCATTCGGGATGGATGGTTCGGGTGTTTCTTATCAACTATTTGCGACCGCAAAATATGTCGACGTCGGGAATCATAAACGTGATACATCACCTCATCACCGCACCTCCTCCTCCTCCTCCTCCTCCTCGTGGTCTCTTAGCGGTATATATTCTGCTATATGCTCCGGCCAGCGTACCGCCACTGCCGAGCACAATGTCTCTATGAAACGGTTCTTCGGGTTGCCCAGTGAAGATACGCCGGGACCTGTGTCTCCGATAACCTATCTGCTGAACAGTAATAAAATTACCACCTCTCGTAACACCGATAAGCTGCAGATTCCTCCGGAGATTCTTTCCAAGATACGCATTCTGGCATCGGTACCGGAGTATGTGAACGTGGAGGATAACCGGGCTACTCTCACCCTGCGACTTCGCACGAAGGATTTAAAGGCGGAAGAGTGTCAGCGACTGCAGCTGGTGGGATTCCGTGTGGACATTATACAGAAAGATAAATGCAGGTCAGTGCTTGGTGCAGATCGAGTGATGTGTGTATTTCTTAGAGCTCATTATTTATTACGTAGGTCGCAGCCTTCCAAAGAATACAAGTCCCGCTACCCGCTTCCCGCCGAGGAACTGCAACCACCGAATCTCCCTCTCCGCTGGACCCAAAGGTCACCATTGTCAATGGATTATTACTCACAAAGCGGGAAGCCTACCGGTTCATGTTCGCGTACATTTTCCCTCCTACCTCCCTCTGAAGATGGGCAATATCTCTTGCAAAATGAGAACTATATCTTCGCAAACGATGCTACGCATACAGATATCCCGACCTGGTATACTTTGCAGACGAACATTCCAGTGATGCATAACGTTCCCGGAAACGATGATGACGATTCCATCGAATGGGCTGGTAACCGGATTCTGCGACCGACTAATCTCGCTGGACCTCTTCTTACTGTCCGACACGAAATCATTGCTACATTGTTCATGTCTTACGACGTCCCTGACTCTACGCAGAGGGCCCACCAAAGCCTCACGTTCTCTGTACCTGTGAAGTTCGCTTCACCCGCTCCTCGTATTAACCATGGCAGGGGTAAATTCGAATTGTCCTTGTCGCTCGCCTCATCCTCGTCCACTCCATCACCATCCTCCTCTCGCCCAACAACCCCAGTCGATGCCGATCAAGTTTTAACGGCTCAATGCGACTCACAACCTGAAACTCATGACGCTCTTAATGACCATTCGGACTCGGATTCTTCACCCATACTCCCTCCCTACTCCCAGTTTTACTACTCAAACGGAGATCGCAAAATTGATCCTACACCACTCCCATTATACACTCCTCGCGAAGCTCCGAACAAGGCTATTGTCGAATCTGTGGGATTGTCTGAAGATGAACATAGACATTCGGTTGCGGTTGTTCAAGATATTCCGATTTTCAGTCAAAAAGCATGCACTATAGCATGATTAAATATGAATGTCAACCTTGTTAGTTTTTTTCTTCTTGTGATTCTATCGAGTCAAGTTGGTCGTTCTTCTTTCAACCGGAACCCATTTGTTACACGCTCTCCTTTAGCATCATGTTCTCATTCCATCTTCACGGAACTTCGTATTACTTTGCACACTCATTATCAACCCATTGCTCCCATTTCTCATATATTTTTATGCATTTCTGCGTTTTCACTGTATCACCGTTACCTGTGTTTTTTATGTAGCATTGATTGATCTCAAATGGAACCTGTTGATTATCCTAACTCGGTCTCTTTCACATCAGTTGCGGAAGTAGTGCTGCTAACATCAGGAAAGGTTTACACAGAATTATTTTCGATACAGCGGTAGGTGTCAAGTCTTTCTCACTATTGTGTTCGAGCTGCACGAGATCGATCTCCAGTCGGCGTTGGCTGCTTTGGCTGCTGATAATTCTAGAAACCGTTCGGGAATATCCGCTGTATATATAAGAGAAACCCCGCAGCCGTTTGCATTCCTTATCGCACGGCCAAGTCTTCACACATGTCTTCACAAATGTCTTTAGCTAACCCTCCGTACGTTCCACTTCTCTCATTCCTTCGATCTAGATGGATCATGGCAAATTGAAATCCTTTTCGCTCTCATGCCTCGCAGCCAGAATACGGCTTCCGGAAGGCTCATGATCGTTGCGAGTGTCCGTGCCAAACCAGGGAAAGTGAGCGCTCTAATCTTTTATTCCGTGCTGAACAACACGCTCATGTATCAATTAGGAAGAGCCTCTTGCTGAACTCCTCAAGCTTATCCAGAAACGCGCCAATAGTGACGAAGAGCCTGGAACTGTGAGTTCTCCGTTTTTAGAAGTAGGAAACGAATGACCATTCATTCAACATCTGGCCATAGTTCACTTATCGTGTAACTCGTCGCATAGACGCTGAGGGAAAATATTTACCTACATTCGTTGTTGTGGTATGTTGTTCGATTTTGTACGATACTACGAAACTAACTTTGAACTTTGTTCACAGGAGGAATATGATGGTATGCTTTTTGCCCCTCCTACGCTTATTCTCTATATATAGTCCATGGATTGACTAGTTGCCTTGTAGGTGCTGCTGGATTGAAAGACCATATGGCTGCCCCTCCGTTCCAGAATCTGATCAAAATTGCTAAGGAGCAGGATCTTATGGACGGTGAAGTGGTGGGTGATTTTTTGGATGGTGAGTACAATAACTATGTTCAAACTCACACATGTCTGATCTACATTTCCTTGTAGAAATTTGAGAACAGAATGAAATCGGATGTATTTGTATTCGTTCCCTGGTAAACAATGTGACCTTCTTACCCCCTGTGAAGTAGTTCGCAAGAGATATATGTATGTATGCTTTGCAATCCAAGTCATTTCATTGGCTTCGAAAACGGAAAGAGCGACTGGAGGCCAAGATGTCCAAGGCTTATAGCAGATTTTTACAAGGAATGAAGAAGAGGGATATGGGGATTGTGGCCGTCTGCCTTATTCAGAGACAACGGATTTTCGTGGATGTTTTGTGTCTTGTGAATCGTGATGCAACGTGTCAAGATGAGTAACGGGAAAACATCTGCAGCATGGGAGTGGTGTGGAGTGAGGGATGTGCCAGTGAGGATCTTTACAAATTTAGTCCAACAGTAAGGGGGGGTCTGAAATGTCTAATAGTAAAGGTGCCTATCGCCCCCTCGGTGTGTATCGACATAACCTAAGTGCATACGGCTTCATCGACAGGGAGACTAGTACTGAGGAAGGGAATGCAATCTATCGGATTCCACTGCGTCACACTGCCATTGTTTAGATACTGGTTTGGACGGTTCCTTGGAAGATTCCAGATTACGACGACTCGGAAGAGTGAATCGGTCCTATTCATATCTGTAAACATACACCAATCCTGTTCTATATTTCCTCCATTCTTGCTGCAGTCTACCATCCCAAGTTGGATGAGCATTCGCTGCAGTGAAGATGGGTGGGCTCGGCTGTTCCCTTGTGGGACCAGGTGGGAGGGACCCCGTTTATGAAGTCAGCCACACTCGCTCTCTTGGGCACACGGATTCTCATTTCGGGTGCCCGACAGTGCGTTTGGGCCCTCCTCGTCTTACTATCAAGCTGCCAGGAACCTTACCGACTGGCCGCAGTGCCTCTAGCCGCCGACTGCCCACCCTTGCCTTGCCTGGTCTCGCGGGGGCAGTCAATCCTCTACGTTGTCTGCTCTCTCCTGTAGCGACTAGCACTCCACGGCTTTCCCATGCGGGTAATGCCTCAATGCACATACAAGGTGCGTGCTCTCGCTTGAGCACGTCTCACCCTTGCTGACCCTTGCATAGCTCTCCTGAATTCCGTACCCAGGTACCCCACTGCGGTTGCGTCGTCTCGCTCCGGGAATTCAGTTGGTATGCACACTGCTTACAACATATTGGGTTCACTAACCCCTACCACAGAACGCTCTGCAGGCAGTGCCTCCAGCCAGGGGCTAGCATCGAACCACCGGGGCAGGTCCCGGGCAGACATGTCAATCTCGCACTTGCTGTCTGGTGCTGTTGCCCGCTCAAGGAGAGCAAGCCGCTCTCCAGATGGTGCCCCACCTCTAAACCGTCAGCGCAACCACTCCCCTCCTCCTTCGCCACCGTCCTTCGCCACGCTGCTCCCCCCCTTTCAATTGCCTGGGCCAACCATTTATGACCATGAAGTTCTTCCACTCCTCTCAAACCACCGACGCTCCTCCCGGTCTGAGTCTGGCCAACGACCCCGAATCCCATTGTCCACGCCCCACCATCAGCTCACCCCATATGGACTTCATAGGCCTCATTCACCAGGCCAGCACGTTCAGCGAGGTCATTCTCCAACTCCTCGCCGGGAGCGTTCTCGATCACCCATGGCACGTCGCTCTCGAAGGCACCATCGCTCGCAGTCCCCTTCGCCACGTCGCTATCGCTCTCGTTCTCGCTCTCCAGCTGAGCGTCGCATTAGCACCTCCACTGTAGCATTGCCTGACCCCAGCGAACAGGACCACACCATGGCTGTATCCCAAACTGTGAGGATTCTTCCTGAGGTTATCACTGCCTTACGGAAGGGTTGGCCGGAGCATATCTCTATAGCCTACTTCAACCCCAAGATGGTCTGCAGCAACCCAGCGAATCGTCGCCGAGCTGACAACACTGTCTCCCTTTCGGGCACAGACCTGCGGATCAAATCCAAGGATCTATCCCACTTTGACCTCGCACGGGTTTCCACAGATGACTTCGGCGAAATTGCAAAGACCATGCCTAAGGCATTAGAGGCCTTTCTCATCACGGAAAAATCACACGGCCGTACGGGGTCGGAGCACGCGCTGGCCATTGCAGATTTTGTACGAAGGACTTTCCAGATGGTAACAAATCGAGACGATTACCTCGAATGTTTCTCAGCCTATCTCATCTATACGGAGCAGGTTCTTTTTGACTGGAAGAACAACCCGAAACAACGCGGAGTCCCCTTTGTTTTCAATGAACCCCGGTGGTCCCGCATTGAACATGGAGTTCGTAGCAGGAGCGACTGGCTACTTGCTTACTACACCTTCCAGTCCACCGAGCACAATACGGCCAAGGCGAAGACCACCTCCTCCTTTCGCGAAACCTCTTCCAATTCCTCTGCCTCCTACCAGGACAACCATGAGGATGGAATATTTATTCCAAGCTGAGAAGAGCATAGGAATATTTATTCCACACAACCTGGGGGTGCGGAGGCCGGAGATCAGACTACCCATACGAAGGAAGCCTGAGGCGCATCGAGATGAAGACCGACAAACCCGTAGGTGTGAAACACCAAGACCAGGGTGAATGAGAGCTCCTTGAAAAACTCAGCAGTGATATCGATGTATGAAAATATGTATAAGCCAGTTGACCAACTAATGTTAGTGAGAGTACCGAAAGAATGTGATTCTAGTGGAGAAATAAGAATGTATGCTATTTCCTGTAGGTACTGCGACGATGACAGCATGTAACATTCTCGGTAGAGACTCTAGAGAAGTGGGATTGTTGGGAATGATGTCTGTGTAGATGTAGAGAAGCAAGAGATTCGAGATTCCTCCAGTATTTGAGAAAGGCCGAGGATTTCCACCTCCCAAAGACTTGAACAACGTCTGGATTGACTCCTGCGAGTAGGTAGTAGGTAGTACCTCCGATTCGGAAGCAGTGGCCAGTGCGGCGACTGATGTTGTGACGACCCCAGATGGTATTGCAGCGACGTAAAAATAGAGTCTTTGTGAGAATTCGTTTGGTGCCTTTAGTGTCTGTGTAGGCGAAGAGCGGGTCTGAGGGTCTGAGCTCGTTTACGCGGATGTGATTATCGAGGGAGAGTATGGGATTTGTAGAGCCTTTTTGGACTGGAACCATGACCTTGTCACCTCTCATTTGGCTGGTTTTAGTTCTCGGAAGGAAGAGTCTCTTCGAACCAGCAGCGTTGGTTTTGCTGAGGTCGGAGATCTTGGGCATGAACTTGGTGTTGTATCGGGAGAATGATGAATTTGTTGGAAGAATCTCTCCAGCTCTAAGTTGACTGTATAACATGAGGTCGGCTGCGGCGGCGATACAACAGTCCAGTCCATTTGTGTCGGAGAGATCCAACTCTGCATGGAGTACCGAGAGATGTGATTTTTTGACTGGTTCTCGCTGTCATAAAGTACGCAGCCCCTATCATTTTCCTTTTCTCACCGTCTCGACGCCTTTACTTGTACGATACATCATCCCATCACTGTCAAACCCCCATCGATTACTGATCCATCGATTACTGATCCACCTGACCCATCTTCTCCTTCTATTGGCTTCCGCCACCTTCCTTGTTCCTAAACTGTACAGTATTACATCGTTGTTTCTCGCAGACCGGATTATGTATATATAGCCAACCCTCCACAGCCTGGTCCCTTATCTTGACCTCTCTGTCATTATCTGGGACCAGGTATGTGCTTACTTATTATTACCTATGACTACGATACTCAATATATCTCTGTCATTATCTGGGACCAGCCTGCCGCCGTTCTGCTTAGTCGCTCCACCTTGTTGCCTTGTCCAGTTGCTCCGCCTCACTGTTCTGCTCAGTCGCTCCGCTTTCCCGCTCCGTTAGTCACTCCGCCTCTGCCGCTTCGTGACATTAGGTCAAGATCCATTACTGCACTGACAGCCTACCGATAAGGTTGTCCTTGCAGGGTCTATAGACACCACGTCTTCCCCAGTTCCGCCCGACTCTGAAACACCTGTTGACAGTATAGACTGCTCCGCACTCCCGCACGCACTTGACCCCAGAGACCAAGCTCACGCCCATAACAACGACGATACTTGGCGCGATTGCCAGTCTCAACCTTGCCCCAACGCCCTTTCGAACTCAATCCGAGAGCCACTCACTGTGAGCAATATAACCTTCCTGCCGATTCCCCAGCCCCGATTGCCTACTCCCATCATGTCGACTCCTATCCTGCCTGCCCCAAACACCTCTGCGGAGGATCTCATGGCTCAGCTCATCAGACAAGTAGCTAACCTTGCTACAGCTATGGAGGAACGCTCATCCTCTAAGTCAAGCATGAACAAACCCGAGGTTTTCAAGGGTAAAGATGGCGCTGAAGCCCGTCGCTTCATGGCTCAGTTCCAGAATTGGGCGTCAGAACAACCGGATCTCGCCAAAAGCCAAGTAAAACTCATCAAGTCCGCCTTGGGCTTCTTCACAGAAAGTGCCGGAGATTGGGCAACTCCCCATCTGCTACATTTCAATGCGGAAAATCCCCCTTTCGGAGGAAATTGGGAGGCGTTTCTGAAGGAATTTAGCCAACGGTTTGAACCAATGGACCCAGGTATGGAAGCCCGTAGCGAGATCAAGAATCTCAGGCAAAGTAAAGGACAGACAGTTGCGGAATTCGCTCAGAAGTTCAAGGATATCGGAGATCGGACTGAAATGTCTGATATTGACTTGCGGGAACGTTTCTTCACTGCATTACTCCCAGAGATCCGACAACACCTCATCACCGTAAACATTGCCCAAGGAATTGCTCCGACTCTGAAGGAGGCAATCAAACGGGCCATATCGGTGGATGTCTACCTGCACGATCCCACCATGACTGGCCGGAACTCTGGATACCCTCCCACGCATACCGCTCATACTACCCCTGCTGACCCCCACGCTATGGACATTGATGCAACCCACACCAGTAATGGGAATACTAGGGAAGCATTCCTAGCTCGCATGCGAGGACGATGCTTCGGCTGCGGTGCCCAAGGTCATGTCAAGCAAAACTGCCCACACCGAGAAACCACCTGCCGCTACTGTGGACGTCGAGGACATCTGGAAGCAGTCTGCCAAGACAAATTCATGGGACTCGGACGAGACCGAGGCCGACGCCAGCAACCTCGACGCCAACAGATATCCGCTACGGGACCCGCGCCATTCTCCCTATTCCCAAACGAATCCGTCCAAATCGCGTCCTCGACCCCAACATCTGCTCCTGCACCCGTAGCTGCTACTGCGAGCCCCCCTAACCAGGACTTTTCCAATCAGATTGGTCAAATAAGGGAATTACTTGATCGTGCTAACGCTATGTCCTCCTCGTCCTCTGGCTTTCAACAGGGTTTTTAAAGAGGGTACCCGCTTCGGCTGCACCGAGAGTACCCCGTAATCAGTTTGTTATGTTCGCTACTTCCTCGTATGACTCGCACCCATCATGTACAATATCGTCGATCCGGGAATTAAACTCTACCTCCCCACATTTCCGAATTCATGCGAGACTAAGAGGAAGGAATCACAGTATAACAACTGCAGCCATGGTAGACTGTGGAGCTACCGCCCTGTTTTTAAACCAAGACTTTGTCACCCGGAACCATGTAAGATGTGCACCCCTCCATAAACCAATCGACGTTTTTAATATCGATGGAACACCTAACCGAGCTGGACGGATAACCCATTTTGCACGTCTAGCACTCACAGTGGATAATCAAGAGCGATGGATGGACTTTCTGATCACCAACCTAGGAGGTGAAGACATCATCCTTGGACTCCCCTGGCTACGGAAGGTAAATCCGGAGATTGATTGGGAGAAAGGACGACTTTCAGTAAAGCCTCCTCGAGTAACGATAGAAGAAGTCCCAGACGAGGAGATCTTGTACTCTCATCTAGCCGCCACTCACACAGAAACCCCGATCCTCGAACTCCCGGAACTGGAACCTCCCGCAGAAAACCCCCACATTGAGGTGCCACTAGAAGCGACCCTTGAACCGAGTGAATCAGCAGCGGTGGAAGAACCACCAATACACCGAATTCGAGCCAATCATAAAACTCGCCGGGCATGGGTAAAAGCAGGAATTCTAGAGGAACAGACGGAGGAAGTCTGGTGCGCCGCAGGATTCACTTACTCCCAGCAGCTAGCAGAGGAAGCCAACCGAGACAAACCCGTTAAAACCTTCGAAGAAATGGTCCCTGAGCAGTATCGTGATTTCAAGAAGGTTTTCTCAGAATCCGCCTCCGAACGATTACCTGCCCACCAACCTTGGGACCATGCGATTGATCTCGTACCTGGAGCACCGGCAACCATGCGTACCAAGATTTATCCCATGTCCCTAAACGAGCAGGAGGAGCTGGATCGTTTCCTAGAAGAAAACCTACGGAAAGGCTATATCGTCCCCTCAAAATCACCAATCTCATCACCGGTCTTCTTCGTAAAGAAGAAGGATGGGAAACTCCGTTTCGTACAAGACTACCGGAAACTGAACGAGTACACTGTGAAGAACCGATACCCTCTCCCATTAGTTGCTGACATCATTAGCCGACTTCAGGGAGCCAGATACTTCACGAAGTTTGATGTCCGCTGGGGTTACAATAACATACGGATTAAGAAGGGGCATGAATGGAAAGGCGCGTTCGCAACAACCCGAGGCTTGTTCGAGCCTAAGGTCATGTTCTTTGGTCTCACAAATTCCCCTGCCGCGTTCCAAGCACTTATGAATGCTATCTTTGCTGATCTCATTGCAGCCGGCAAGGTGGCAGTCTACCTAGATGACATCCTTATCTTCAGTAACAATCTCGAGGAACACCGACGAATGGTACGGGAAGTATTAACCCGGTTAGAAAAGCACGACCTCTACCTACGACCCGAAAAATGCGAATTTGAACAACAACAGATTGAATACCTCGGACTCATCATCTCAGAAGGGGAGGTGAGAATGGATCCGGTAAAAGTAGCGGCTGTTCGTGACTGGCCAGTCCCTACTAACCTTCGGGAACTACGAGGGTTCTTGGGATTTGCAAACTTCTACCGACGCTTTATCCGGAATTTTGCCAAAATAGCACGACCTCTGAACGACCTGACGAAGAAAGACACCAGCTTTACCTGGACCGACACTCGACAGAAAGCATTTGATACCCTTCGAGAAGCCTTCATCTCCGCACCGATCCTTGCTCTATGGACACCAGACAGGCCTACTCGAATCGAGGTAGACGCATCAGGCTTTGCCACGGGAGGCGCCCTTATGCAGAAGCAAGACGATGGCCAATGGCATCCGGTAGCCTTCAGATCGGCATCCATGCAGCCAGCGGAACGAAACTATGAAATCTACGATCGAGAGATGCTTGCCATCATTGAAGCACTGAAGGATTGGAGGAACTTTCTAGAAGGACTCCCTCAACCATTCGACATCATTACGGACCATTCGAACCTCGAATTCTGGCGCACTGCACAAGACCTCACCCGCCGACAAGCCCGATGGGCCCTCTATCTGTCACGGTTTGACTTTCATATGATCCACCGCCCTGGCAGAGTAAACACCCAAGCTGATGCTCTCTCCCGCATGGCAGTTCATCATGTATCGGACAGCGATGATAACCGACAACAGACAGTCCTTAAACCTGGCCACTTCGTAAAAATTGCAGCTTCGATCCTACAGAACCCCTTAGAGGATCGTATCCGGAAAGCCTCAGAACGGGAAGCACAGGTATTGGAGGGTCTCAAAACAGTCAAAGAGCACGGACTACAGCGCTTGGCCAATGGGATAGCTGAATGGGAAGAAGACAATGGGTTGGTCTACTACCGAGGTCGAGTATACGTACCAGCAAACGACGACCTACGCACTGAGGTACTCCGTCAATGCCACGACCATCCAACTGCAGGACACCCCGGACTACACGGGACGCTCGACTTGGTCAGTACCCATTTCTGGTGGCCTACGTTGCGCTCTTTTGTGGAAAAATACGTTGAGGGATGCGAGGTTTGTGCCCGTAAGAAGATCCAGCGACACCCACGGGCCGTAACTCAACCATTAGATGTACCATCCGGTCTATGGGAAGAGGTAGGGGTTGACCTGATAACACAGCTACCTAACTCCCAAGGCTACGATGCTGTCTTGGTTTGCACAGACCTGTATGGAAAACAAATTCACGCTATTCCTTGCACCAGCTCCATCACAGCCGAAGGCGTTGCCGATATTTACTACCGAGAGATCTTCCGTCTCCATGGTCTTCCTCTTCACTTTAAATCCGACCGCGGACCCCAGTTTGCAGCTAAACTCATGCGATCCCTTCTCGCTAGGCTAGGAATTAAATCAGATCTAACCTCCGGATACCGTCCTCAGTCTAATGGCCAAACCGAACGAGCAAATCAGGAAGTAGAGAAATACATCCGCCTCTATGTAGGACGACGACAAGACGACTGGGCAGAGCACCTTCCCATGGCGGAGTTTGTGATTAACTCACGGACTCATTCTGCACTAGGCATGTCCCCGTTCGAGCTAACCTACGGCTATCTTCCCCTGTTCAATATCCCAGTGGGCCAACGCAGCGGTATTCCAGCTGTGGATGACCGTATACGGATTCTCCGAGAAGCGCGACAAGATGCCGGAGCTGCCTTACACCTAGGAAAGAAACAACAGAAGGAGGGATACGAACGCGGGAAGCGGAAAGCTCATCAATTTAAAGTTGGAGACCTAGTCTGGCTCAGTGCAGAGGACATTAACCTTCAGCTTTCCAGTGAAAAGTTAGGAGATCGACAGCTTGGCCCTTATCGCATTCTGGAGAAAATTGGCCCTTTAGACTACCGCCTTGACCTTCCCCTATCCCTAGATCGCCTCCATCCCGTCTTCCATGTTGATAAACTATACCCCTGGAAAGGCAACTCCATTAATGGCGAAATACCAACACCACCAGAGCCGGTATACTTAGAGGATGAAGACGAACCGGAATACGAAGTAGAGGAGATCTTAGACAGCCGGGTTCGATGGAAGAAGTTGGAATATTTGGTTAAGTGGAAAGGTTACGACGCAGGGCACAACTCTTGGGAACCCGCAGCCAACCTCAGTCGAGCACCAAAAATTGTTCGGGCCTTTCATAAAAAACACCCAACAGCGGCAAAGCCTTGACCATCGAGGGCAATGGTCATAAGGAGGGGGGTAATGTCATAAAGTATGCAGCCCCTATCATTTTCCTTTTCTCACCGTCTCGACGCCTTTACTTGTACGATACATCATCCCATCACTGTCAAACCCCCATCGATTACTGATCCATCGATTACTGATCCACCTGACCCATCTTCTCCTTCTATTGGCTTCCGCCACCTTCCTTGTTCCTAAACTGTACAGTATTACATCGTTGTTTCTCGCAGACCGGATTATGTATATATAGCCAACCCTCCACAGCCTGGTCCCTTATCTTGACCTCTCTGTCATTATCTGGGACCAGGTATGTGCTTACTTATTATTACCTATGACTACGATACTCAATATATCTCTGTCATTATCTGGGACCAGCCTGCCGCCGTTCTGCTTAGTCGCTCCACCTTGTTGCCTTGTCCAGTTGCTCCGCCTCACCGTTCTGCTCAGTCGCTCCGCTTTCCCGCTCCGTTAGTCACTCCGCCTCTGCCGCTTCGTGACACTCGCTTTGGCCTGAAAGAAGAGGGCGGAGCGGAGCGTTCTACACCAGCGAGAACCTTCCGAAGACGATCTCCACCCTGCCAGGCGTATCCCTTCATGATAGTCCAACCTTTGATTGCAGAAAGCTTGGCTTTGACTGAGGCACCAGCTAGTTTCCCTCCAAATTCTGCAGCATATTCACAGAGTGTGACTTCGGAAGCAGGTAAAACGTCCTTGGCGTGTAGACGATGTTGGTGGGCCCAGTCCAAAAATTCAGCGATGTTGTTGTGTTTGCGACCTTGAGTCTTGGATGAGACAGAGGCTTCCATCAATTTCCTCGCTCTTGCACTGAGGCGCAACGGAGTCGGGTGAGAGGGGGTAGCGATGTGAGTGGTGTGTATTCTGACCATGGTAGTGTGAAATGAGGATGTATAGTGCACGTGATGCTTGTTTAGTTGAGTGTCAAATACAGTTGGCCTATGGTTATTAAACGAGTTAAGGGTATCTCAGTACAATGTGTATCAAGGTCGTTACTTGGAATAATATATATATGCTAAGTAGGAATCAAGCGTGGGTCATGGAACGATACTGAATTATGGACAAATAATTTCAAATGAGAAGGTATCGCAGGTGGATGTGGGTGAAGGAGTGCACGCGGGGGAAAGTGAGCTCGGGACGGGGCATCTGCGATGTTGTCATGAGTCAATACCCATTCGGGTTCTACCCAAATGTTGTGCTTCTGCATCAGCTCGACAATTTTCCGCAGAATTAAGTTTTGCTGAGGACCGCGTGAACAGCTGCGATGGAGAGCTCCGACCACTCCTTTGTTGTCTGAGTAGATTCGAATTCTGAGTCCAGAGCGACCGGTGGAAATGAGGGTGCGAATTGCCAATTCGATAGCTACCATCTCGGCCCAGCCGATGTGTCTGCCCTCTCTTAGTTCCCATGCTAGCCACTTGCCGTTGAGAATGAGACCTATCCCCCAGCATGTAGATGCATCAATGAAAATGACATCGTCTGAAAATTCCGGCGGACGTTCGATTTTTATGCCAACGAAGTCCTGCTGCAGAAGCTGATCCCACCATAATATGTCAGTGCGTAGATCGTTGGGGATTCGGTGTTTGATTAGAGTGGATGTGGAGTCTTTGAAGGAAGCGCGGAATCGGTAAAAGTGAATGAGCCGTGAACGTCCTTCGGGAGCAACCAGGCAGACATGATTAAGGGTGCCAATAATGGAATCGGCCTTATCTTTGACTAGTTTCTCCTCTGAAAGCCATGGGGCAAGCTTGGAACGGTACTTGGATTTCTTATCTGCCAGTAGCTCGACTGTTTTGAGGTCTAGTTTCCACAAGAAGCCAATGTAGGTGAAGAAGTGTGCAAATGGAACAAATTTCTTTGGAGCCCATGGCCAGCCGAGAATTTCGGCAGTGTCCCAGATGAGTGATTCGTCATAAGAGTATGTGAAAGAGCCAGTGGAGGTGCGGGTTTTTGGGTAGCGAAAGAATATGAAATCATCAACCCATTTAAGTAGTGCTTCGACCCCTCGGTGTAGGAGGATTTTGACCATGGCATCTGCGACATGTCCCCATATGCCTGGAGCCGAGCACTCCCCAAAGTTCAGCATGAGATCCGGATGAATGAGACCGTCTAGGAATAAACAGACCAGGTGTCGCACAGAAGGGTGAATTGGGATGTTACGAAATGCTGCATCTACATCAAAAATGGCGACCTGAGTGCCCTCGGGTGCGTCAGCGACTAATAAATAACAATTGACAAATGTTCCCCAGTCGCACGGGAAGTCATCGGAGTCTATGAGAGAGTTGATGGAGATCTTGGCTGGATCGATGACCTTTATGGATTTCGCTATTTCGGTGGGTGGCGCAGTGAAGTGTGGTGGTGGTGAGGTGAAATTGAGTTTTGGATAGGAATGGTTGATAATAATTCGGAATTTTCCTGGTCGCTGCTCGAGTACTGCCATTGGTGCAGTACGGAAATTTCCTAACAGTTGTTGAGCGTCTTCTGGTGACATTCCGGCAGAGATCCGGCCCAGAGAAATCTCTTCCTTGAACTTTGCTCGAATGATGTCAGCTTCAGCCTCAGTGTGGAAATGGTTTGGGGGGATGAACGTGTATTCAACCCGGTATCCATCCACACCAATGTGAAACCCTTCACGGAGGCCTTCCGGAACCCCCTTGAACTCCTGGAGTACGCCTGCCTCTTCCAGGAGTCTTGACCACGCATCCAGTTTTAAACGCGTGGAAAAAGGGATGTCCTCATTGGATGTGGTGCTGAGCACCATGCGAGGTGTCCCCGCAGTTACCACACATGTGTTTGTAGCGACAGACTGAACGGGAGCAACTGCTTCGGCGATTGAAGGAGGCACAGAGAATTTCTCCATTATCCTTCTTCTCCCTCCAGTTTCGACTGTTGCTTTCTTTCCAGATGATGTCGGTTGGCTTGGCAACGTGTTGGGCTGAGGAGTGTGGGCCATCACCGCAGATACACTGGTTGTCCTGGTAGGAGGCAGAGGAATTGGAAGAGGTTTCGCGAAAGGAGGAGGTGGTCTTCGCCTTGGCCGTATTGTGCTCGGTGGACTGGAAGGTGTAGTAAGCAAGTAGCCAGTCGCTCCTGCTACGAACTCCACGTTCAATGCGAGACCACCGGGGTTCATTGAAAACAAAGGGGACTCCGCGTTGTTTCGGGTTGTTCTTCCAGTCAAAAAGAACCTGCTCCGTATAGATGAGATAGGCTGGGAAACATTCGAGGTAATTGTCCCGATTTGTTACCATCTGGAAAGTCCTTCGTACAAAATCTGCAATGGCCAGCGCGTGCTCCGACCCCGTACGGCCGTGTGATTTTTCCGTGATGAGAAAGGCCTCTAATGCCTTAGGCATGGTCTTTGCAATTTCGCCGAAGTCATCTGTGGAAACCCATGCGAGGTCAAAGTGGGATAGATCCTTGGATTTGATCCGCAGGTCTGTGCCCGAAAGGGAGACAGTGTTGTCAGCTCGGCGACGATCCGCTGGGTTGCTGCAGACCATCTTGGGGTTGAAGTAGGCTATAGAGATATGCTCTGGCCAACCCTTCCGTAAGGCAGTGATAACCTCAGGAAGAATCCTCACAGTTTGGGATACAGCCATGGTGTGGTCCTGTTCGCTGGGGTCAGGCAATGCCACAGTGGAGGTGCCAATGCGACGCTCAGCCGGAGAGCGAGAACGAGAGCGATAGCGACGTGGCGAAGGGGACTGCGAGCGATGGTGCCTTCGAGAGCGACGTGCCATGGGTGATCAAGAACGCTCCCGGCGAGGAGTTGGAGAATGACCTCGCTGAACGTGCTGGCCTGGTGAATGAGGCCTATGAAGTCCATATGGGGTGAGCTGATGGTGGGGCGTGGACAATGGGATTCGGGGTCGTTGGCCAGACTCAGACCGGGAGGAGCATCGGTGGTTTGAGAGGAGTGGAAGAACTTCATGGTCATAAATGGTTGGCCCAGGCGATTGAAAGGGGGGGAGCAGCGTGGCGAAGGATGGTGGCGAAGGAGGAGGGGAGTGGTTGCGCTGACGGTTTAGAGGTGGGGCACCATCTGGAGAGCGGCTTGCTCTCCTTGAGCGGGCAACAGCACCAGACAGCAAGTGCGAGATTGACATGTCTGCCCGGGACCTGCCCCGGTGGTTCGATGCTAGCCCCTGGCTGGAGGCACTGCCTGCAGAGCGTTCTGTGGTAGGGGTTAGTGAACCAAATATGTTGTAAGCTGTGTGCATACCAACTGAAACCCCGGAGCGAGGCAACCGCAGTGGGGTACCTGGGTACGGAATTCAGGAGAGCTATGCAAGGGTCAGCAAGGGTGAGACGTGCTCAAGCGAGAGCACGCACCTTGTATGTGCATTGAGGCATTACCCACATGGGAAAGCCGTGGAGTGCTAGTCGCTACAGGAGAGAGCAGACGACGTAGAGGATTGACTGCCCCCGCGAGACCAGGCAAGGCAAGGGTGGGCAGTCGGCGGCTAGAGGCACTGCGGCCAGTCGGTAAGGTTCCTGGCAGCTTGATAGTAAGACGAGGAGGGCCCAAACGCACTGTCGGGCACCCGAAATGAGAATCCGTGTGCCCAAGAGAGTGAGTGTGGCTGACTCCATCCAACATATCGTGCTCCGGGGTCCCCACGACACGAGAACGGCGAGTAGGAGAAGGGGAGGCACCCCAGTCCTGTGGTTCATCCTCCTCCGGGATATTGTTGAGGGCAGTGGGGTCGAGGTCACCAGGCAAGGCATTGGACCTGGACATTGCGCGTGTAACTCGGGTCCGCCCTTGAGAAGGAACCAATTGGCGAGCACGCTGCTTGCCCTTGCTGGGGCCTGCCCTGTTGGAGGCAAGTTCGGGAGAAGAGGCGAGTGTCATGAAGTATGTAGCCCCTATCATTTTCCTTTTCTCACCGTCTCGACGCCTTTACTTGTACGATTACATCGATTACTGACCCACCTGATCCCCATCATCAATTACTGATCCACCTGTTACCCTTCTCCTTCTACTGGCTTCCACCACCTTCCTTGTTCCTAAACTGTACAGTATTACATCGTCATTTCTCGCAGATCGGATTATGTATATAAAGCCAACCCCTCACAGCCTGGTCCCTCATCTTGACCTCTCTGTCATTATCTGGGACCAGGTATGTGCTTACTTATTGTTACCTATGACTACGATACTCAATATATCTCTGTCATTATCTGGGACCAGTTTGCCTCCGCTCCGCTTAGTCGCTCCGCCTCACCGCCTTGCTTAGTCGCTCCGCCTCACCGCCTTGCTTAGTCACTCCGCCTCTGCCGCTTCGTGACATTAGGTCAAGATCCATTACTGCACTGACAGCCTACCGATAAGGTTGTCCTTGCAGGGTCTATAGACACCACGTCTTCCCCAGTTCCGCCCGACTCTGAAACACCTGTTGCCAGTATAGACTGCTCCGCACTCCCGCACGCACTTGACCCCAGAGACCAAGCTCACGCCCATAACAACGACGATACTTGGCGCGATTGCCAGTCTCAACCTTGCCCCAACGCCCTTTCGAACTCAATCCGAGAGCCACTCACTGTGAGCAATATCACCTTCTTGCCAATTCCCCAACCCCGATTGCCTACTCCTATCATGTCGACTCCTATTCCGCCTGCCACACCAGCCCCACCCGCCTCTGCAGAAGATCTCATGACTCAGCTGATTAAACAAGTAGCCAATCTTGCTACAGCCATGGAGGAATGCTCATCCTCCAAGTCCAGCATGAACAAACCCGAGGTATTCAAGGGAAAAGATAGCGCTGAGGCGCGTCGCTTCATGGCTCAGTTCCAGAACTGGGCATCGGAACAACCTGATCTCACCAAGAGTCAGGCCAAGCTTATCAAGTCAGCCCTAGGGTTCTTCACTGAAAGTGCGGGTGACTGGGCAACCCCGCATTTGCTACATTTCAATGCGGAACATCCCCCCTTTGGAGGAAATTGGGAGGAGTTCCTGAAAGAGTTTGTTCAACGCTTTGAGTCAGTAGACCCGGGTATGGAAGCTCGCAGCGAGATCAAAAATCTCAAGCAAAGTAAAGGTCAGACAGTCGCGGAATTTGCTCAGAAGTTCAAGGATATTGGGGATCGGACTGGAATGTCTGACATTGATTTACGAGAACGCTTCTTCACTGCCCTACTTCCGGAGATCCGACAAAATCTCATCATTGTAAACATCGCCCAAGGACTTGCTCCGACTCTGAAGGAGGCAATCAAACGAGCCATATCAGTGGACGTCTACATGCATGATCCCACCATGACTGGCCGGAACTCTGGACACACTCCCACACATGCTGCTCACACTACCCCTACTGACCCCCACGCTATGGACATTGATGCAACCCACACTAGTAATGGGAATACTAGGGA